ACACAATATACTGTTCCTACTACTCTGGCCTCTACGGACTTCTCCTCTACTAAGGAACCATGGTCTGAAGATCTCAGTTGCTAGGGTTTAACTTACTTAAACTCTACGATAAGCACTCAAGGATCAGAGCATTAGACTTCTGACAAAAAGGTCGCGGGTTCGATCTTCGGGTGGGGCACCACTTGGGATTGGGTATGGCTGGCTGATGAGCCAGAACTGGCCATTACAGTCCCCCTCGTCTTCGCCGGTAATGCTATCTGCCTAAACTACTAGTAGTCGTGCTGCTGCTGGCGGGGCTCCAGCATGAGCCCCAAAGCAGAACGGGATAAGTGCGTTCCATTAGCTATCAGTGAACGTTGATGAACGAGTGTTAACATTCCTGTTCTCCGATACTGCGCTTCGATCTATCCACTGGTGTGCTATGTCTAATGATGACAACACATGGATAGAATTCGCCAAACTACCCAGTGGACTGGCAGTTCTAGTAGCTCAGAAGTTCGAGACGATAATTCATGGAAAACTGCTTTGAGAAGCAGGAGGCTCTCGGCCACTTTCGCACACTAGTACACGCCCATGAAGAACCGAAATGCTCTCAATTTAGGAGCCTTTATCTGCGCTCTGTCTCAATAGATTACCTTTGATGGAAATGTATCGGCCCAAGGAAAAATTACGGAAAACGATATCCTGCCGCAGGATTTAACTGACATAAGCTGATTTAACTTTTTCCCGTAAAAAGGTCTGCAGCTGCAGGGTCGACATGGCTAGTCACCTAAAAAAGGCGCAAGATATGTCTTGAGTCCAGATCTCTTGAGGTATGTTACAGAGAATGCACATTTCAAGAAGTTCAGTTTAATATAGATGTTCGTTGCTCGAAGGGGAATTTGCGAAATGAAGAATAAGTTTGCCGCGAAATATGTCCCATGTTACACCAAAGTTTGCGTAGTCAGTCAAGAATACCTGCGCTTGACATGGCTTTGTCCGCACGTGGCCAAGTGTGATTCTATTTTCATGGAATATATTGCTCGTTCAAGGTTACTCATCAGCTAACCGAGATCCAATCTTCGGTCTCCTTGTGGTGGTTCGCGGGCAACGTGGATATACTCACGGCTAACAGAGGGCAGTGGCAGGTAACACCAGAGACGTAACTTGTATCAAAATTCCTAAGAAACTTCATGGATAATACAAATATCAAGGATTTCAATACTGTTCCGGCGTCTCGGGAAGCGACGCACTCCGTGGTCGTTTGGTGCCTGGAAGGTCAAATATGCGAGCCAGGAGCCTAAATTCACGACAACTGGAACATCGGTTGCTAGAATGTGCGGACATTGCATGATGCCGAAAGTCAAGCACTTTTAGCACGCGCATTGCCGGACTATAAGATAGACGCTGTCTGTCAGAAGTTCGCCTCCCAGAGCCTGGAACGACAGAAATGAAGGTCCCACAAGAGGATGCTGAGCACATGCTTCTCCACAGTAGTCAGCAGACGAATACAGGACAGCCTGGAGTGGCAGGAGCCATGACAATGCAGGGGCGTAACAC